TGTTGAATTGTAAGTGTATCGAACATATAAGTTTGATAAAACTTGGTCCACCATTCCAGAAACCCTTTAGCTGTGAGATGGGTAGGTTCGAAGGTTATCAGCTCAAACTGGGCAAAGCCTTGATATTGTTCTTGCTGTATTTTGGCTTCCCGTGCCTTGAAAGTTCGTCCAGAAGTGATGGCGCTCTCTGTTTGAAATAAAGGTTCAGGAATCAGTTGGCATAAGCCAAACTGTCTCGAAACAAAATTTGGCTGGTAGGCAAAAAGAAAAATCTGGTTCTTGGCTGGAGTTATTCTTGAAGAAATGAGTCTAGGTAGCAAAAAGGCTCTCCATACATCCTGAATCTCCTTGCTCTTGATAGCTTCCGAGAGAGCCATGGTAAACCAGGAAGGTCCATGAGCCCTCGAAGCAAAAGGCGCCATGCTCTCTTCGAACTTGTGCCTTTTGGAGAATATCATGACGTACTTCGAGAATTGGACTTTGAAGTCGTCTTTGTCGTCATTTGGAGTTAATCTTCGAAGCCTAGTGCCTTCGACTATCCTATCATTTATCTCAGGATCTTGTTCATCAATGGTGTTGGCCGTTGACAAGGAGGGTTCGAACATGGCATTTAGCCATAGTTGAAGTAACCAAAAAGGGCCAGCCAACAAAATATTCTTGGAGGTATGGGATTTGAGGCTCGAAACAGCTGACCTCAGGCTTTCATAAAGGTCAACTAAGAGCAGTTCACTTAAGCACACTTTTCGATTTTCATGCAAATCCCTAGCTAGAGGAATAAACCTACTGGCTACCTGTAGGGATCTACTGCAGAAAACGTATCTTGACAGCCATAGGGTTAAGAAAGCAATGTGTTCTACGTCAGACACATTGTCTCCCTCAGCATGGTAGTGACTGATAAACTTGGAAAAACTTGCTAGCTTGACTTCGAAGTCAATTATGCTTGAGTGTTCTTCGTTGTCAGGTATGTATGTTTTTCCTACTGGCGATAGCCCAGTGATGGCCGCTATGTCGAAGAAGGTGGGGGTGATCATTCCACCTGGGAGATGGAAAGTGTTATAGGTACTGTCCCAGAAATAGAGGGACGCGAATAGCAGAGGGTGGCTGTAAGTGAAACCAGGCTTCGATAGCTTAATCAAATTATAGATACCTAATTCTTCCTATTGCTGGGATTTCTTAGCTTCTACTTTCTTGAACCAGTTTTGATAAGCAGTATCAGAGGTGGGGCAAGATCGAAACGGCTTAAAATTACTTTTTACATAGTCCAAAACAAAGGGGTCCTTAGGAGGAACAATTGGATTTTCTATGGTGTTTGAACCAGAAGATTCTATTGCCTTAGGGGCGTCCATTTTGTTAAACAAGGGTTTAAAACTATAACAAACTGGGAAAATCGTCCTGGTATCTTTTAATATTTCAAAAACCGTAAGAGGGCCATTTAAAGCTAACCTCTTACCAGCAACGGTGGTAGGAATGAGTACCTGTGACACATACAACATTTCTTTTTCCTTTGAAATCATCTGAGGAGCAAGAACGGATTGGCCTTGGTGAGTGATAATCTTACTTTCCATGGTAGTTCCTGCAGTTTTTCCTTTCTTCTTGGAAACCTTCTTGAGTTGGGATGAAGTAGAAGAAGACATTTTTGAAGAATGTTGAAAGCTTGGGTTTTTGGCGAAAAAAGGAGGGTAAAAGATTCAGAGTGTGAAAAGAAAAGAAAAAGATTAAGTTGGTGATGTTTTATAATGGGGAAGTTTAAGCATCCACTGAATAAGGGTGTGATACGTGGAAATCATGGGTTGGTGTGATGAAGAGGTGGCGTAAAGTTAACATGGGTAATAGGCGTGATTTAAAGATAATCATTGTTTGTAACTGCACCATACTGTGAAGTGGCTCCAGGCGGTTAAGGAATCCAAAAAGTGTTATGATTGACGTGACTGGAGTCAAATGCATTAAATGTTACGATGATTCGAAGGTCGCATCAAAATATTGTGTAGATGTTTAAAATAGGTATTTCTCAGAGGGATCGAAATACATATTTTAAAGGGGCAATTTGTTGGCTGAAGATTTTGATAATATTATTAGAAGCCAAGTGAATTGAACGTTTCGATCGAAATGAAGCAAAGTGTCATGTTGCGAAGTAGCAGAAGCAGTGTTTCGAATAAGCATGTCAAAGCTTGGAGTTTCGAATGGCAATTATGGAAACATATCTAAGAAGTCTCGAAATAACAACAAGGCTGTGTCTGAGAAGTGTGTTCGAAACGGAGAAGTACCAAAGCATTTGAAATTCAAATGGAAGCGGGACATTTGAAGTTTGAAATTTATGTGCTGGAGCATTTGGAGACACGTGGAAAGAAGAGAGAGGCATTGTTCTGCATGTTCTGAACGTGGCATAATCTTATAGCAAAACCGTTATGGTCGAATTAGTATAAATAGAAGTCTTAGTATTAGGATTTCGTGTGTCATATCTATTGTACTAAATACTCAGTAACATTCAAACTACCACATGGCAAGGGAAACAAATGCAAGAGCAATGTACGTATGATAGCACCACATCTTTATGATTTAATGAAAACCTTTTATCATTTCCAGCACTTTCCTTTATCTTTCTGTCAAATAACATTTATAAGTTTTCTCATTTAAAGTCTTTTCACTTTGAAATCTCTTCATTAAAGCTTTACATTTCAATGCTTTCTTTACATTTCAAGCACTTTACATTTCAGAAAACTGTCATACTTTTCATGTCTTTATCTTCAAGTTTTACACTTCGAACGTTTATTTTTACTTAGAGTCATTTACAGATTTCTTGCATTAAACGCTTTCTTCATATTTCAAACCTTTTACGTTCCAGAACACCCTTTACATTAACTGTTTTTATAATTCGAAACCATTTACTTCCCTTTTATGCAATTTTACATGTCTTTACAATTAACATTTATTCATGCAATTTAGTTTCGTACACGCACATTTTGATTACATCTTTAGACCTTTAAGAGAGAAATCGAAATAAGCCAAACACCTATACAACACTCAAATATCAACCATGAATATCTGTTCGATCATGAGAGTTACCCTAATGACCAAGGAATCCTAGGATCAATCTAGTCGATCCTGTGAGTTACTAGAGGAATTGAATAACAGTCAGAAAGTTTATTCGATAGTTTGGAAGACTAGCGGTTGTTTACCAGAAATCACTGGAAACACATACGTATTTATGTGAATCACTCATTTACTAGTCTCAATGTAGATGTTTACCATCATCTCTGAGTCAGTATTATCTTAACGTTTCTATTCGCGTCCTTTGGGTTGGTAGTTGTCGATCCCTTGTGAGTTAATGTTATTCTCTTTTTTCTATCTCCTCTATAAGTGAATAGTTCATAGTTATCTATCGGTCGTTGTTATCCATTGCTTTCTCCTCATTTGTTGAGTTGATGATACTTTATCTCCTCTTTGGGCTTTACCCTAACAAAGTTGAGTCTTCTTTTCCTCAACAGAGTTTATTTAGAGTTGAGTTTCTTTCCAACAGTCGAGCCGATAGTCCTTTCTTAATGGTTAGCTCCTTGATAGTTTGTTGCTTACATTGTTAAGAGTTTTCGTTGTTGACATCTTACTATGAAGTTAGGGTCTTGGACCACAAGCATTGTGGAAATCTTCCTTGGCAAGATTCCTCAAGATACAAGGTTTCTTCATTAGAATTTTCTTCAAGGAACATGCATTTTAAGATTTAACTTGTGTACTTAAGACTTTATCATATATTCACTAAGAATGTCCTTGAGCTAGAGTTTTACTTCTCTCCACATCTCAAGCGTTCTCCATAAATATGCACTCAAGATCAAGAAAGTTAGGGGGTTTCTCCTATGAAGGTGCTTGGACATTAGTGTTGGTTATTCAAAATGGTTCTTTGAGATCAGTTTCTCCTCAAGGCTAACAAGGATCACCGTTCTTTCTTTATTTCAAGTTCATCAATCATATAGAGTTTCCCTTAATTACTTGCTCTGTGAGTCATTTCTTTTCAAGAAGTCTAGAAGATTGAATCATGGTTCTCTTCTTGTGGTGAGACTTGCCAAATAATTAAGTGTGGCTTTGGGGTTTTCAGCAAGATATTTTGTTGATTAAAGAGCGAGTATACAACATGGTAGGAGTTTGAGGATTCTTTCTGATCAAGACCTTATTATATTTTCAATTTCTTAATTGTTTGCAAGCTTACTTGGATTTAAAGATTGAATTAGGGAATGAGTTCATTATGGTGAAGTATTTCTTTTAAGGTTGGTTCGAGAGAACTCATGATTATGGTTTGTATGGAATATGAAATTGTAAGTTCAAACGCATTTCAATTTTCTCAAGAATCGATTCAAAAGGTAGAATCACTCATGTGGTTTGTTCGAAATACAAACAACAACTACAAAGCGTGAGATTCAAATTACAAGGCCTCATTTGAGTTATCGAATTTCATTTAAAAAAATCAAAATCCCTTCAAGATCATTCAAATTTATACATGTTCACATTATTGGAAGTTCATCAAGTTTTCATTCAAATGGCATTCTTCGAAAATTGCAAATTAAAGGTCCTCACCACGATACAAAGTTCAATGCATTCAAAAGTTCTGATACAATGTCATGTTACAAGTTGCAAAATGAAATGCAAATTAAAAAAGCTATCAAATTTAGAAGATTCATTACATTCTCAACCATTACACCATGTTACATTATTGAGATGAAAACGAAGCTACAAAAGAAAATTGCAACTTTGCGATGTCAATGTTAGCTTCCAACATACTTCCATCTGCTCGATATCAGACCCGACCAAACTAAGACTATGGGCAACAACCTCATGGGTTAAACAAAGATTAGGACATGACAGTGACTATGTAATTAACAAGAAATGTTAGGAGATGCTTAAAGATCGAATCAACAAAACCTCTACATCCCTCAAGTGAACAAGACTAAAGCTCACCCAAAAACCCAAGCTTCGGCTCCCAATAAAAATAACTAACTGTAACAGGTTCGTAACTAACTCATAACAAAAATTTGGGGATTCATTTGAGAAGAGGAGGGAGAAAACTTCACGAGAGGTTTTGATTCTACACAAGAAAAACTCAAAAAAAGGTAGGAGAAACTCACTAGAAAATCAGAGAAATAATATTCAAGAGAAATTCTCTCATCTCTATGTATTCTTCTCTCCCTCCAAAACTGTGATGACATTGATTCGAGATTGTCATCGATTCTTCTTCATCACTACAACATTGCTCCAATATTCGATCATCAATCTCACAGTTCCGTCATCAATCTTGGCCTTTCATCATCTTCTACAAAAGTGTTGTTGCATCATCAATATCATCTTCAACTGCAAATCATTGCTCTAACACGCAACAACAGAATCAACATCGTCATCACATAATGATTCGTGATAGAACACATAAATGAGTAGAAGAATATTTTGTACTAAATTTTTGTTGCAGATCTTTTTCTGGTTCCCTCTCAGCATCTTCGATTGAAGGTGCATCAGAACATTTTCCGGCAGGTAATCCTCAGTACTCTTTTGTTGTATCGTATCACTATTTATGTGAATCGAAGCCGAATAGAGGAGGCAGAATACAAATCGTTCACGGAGGATTGAATCGTGAACGAGATCATGATGGATGAAGGCGAAGGTTGTGATAGAGATGAGGAAATCTTGTTGATAGACCGAATCGTTTGAAGGGGGAAATTAGAAGCAGACGATGGAAGGAGAAGTCTGGGCGGAGATGATAGATTAAGAGAGGCCGAGCGGAGATGATAGATTAAGAGAGGCCGAGCGGAGTTGAACGATGGTGGGTGTTCGTTGTTCACAGTGCACGCGATTGAGAAGATGAGGAGCCATATCTTAACCCTAAATTCCTCTTTCATTTTTTTAAAATTTAATTAGTTTGTTTTATTAATAATGAAGATTAAATATAATCTGCATAAAAAAGGGCGAATCAGACATGGGACTCCGAAATTATGCTCTCGAAGTCCATCATGTGGTTTTTATTAAGTATAGGAGAGTTTAGAAAAAAAGGGCTTAATGGACTGGTTTAATTGGGTTGAGAGCCTAAGCCTCTTGTTGGCCACACTCCTGAATTTTAGTTTTACACCCCTCTAGTTGATTTTAGATTGTTCTAACAATTTTCTTTTCTTGGACTTTGTTAATAAAAAATATTGATGTTATAAACAACAATAATCAGTAGAATGTTAGAATCGTTTTGAGTTTTAGGAATTAATTAGGTTTCTTACTATTAGTTTCCTTAATCTTTTGAGTTTAATGTTGTAAATGATTGTGGACATTTCTTTGATTGTTATTTAATATCATTTTTGAGTTGTAATTCGATGTTGGAGTTTAACTCAAGTTTCTTTATTATTTTCTAACTCCTTTGTTATTTGTGCAAGTTTGGAAGCTACTTTACCACTCAATACGATTTATTCAAATATAGTCTTGTTGTATAGACTTACATTGTGCAGGGAATTTGACTTGATACGATTTCTACACTTGCGATTTATTTTTATGTTATGACTTTGGATTCTCATTGGATATTTTTCTAATCATTCCTCTCTTGTTGATGCTAGCTTGCACGAAGTATTCTGAGTTTCTTTGCTATTGATTTCTTTGCTACAAATTGATATTCGTTTGATATTTTCTCCTATTTATCTCATTTCAACACTTTACTGCTTTCTATATATCATGAGAAGTAAGAAATAAAGAACGTGCACTCGAAGTCGATGTTTAAAGTCTTATAGCAGCCACCGCTTTCTATATGTTATTTGTGTTTGTTTAAAATCCTACATTTGAAGTAGGTATTTTACATGTGTGTTTACATTTGTGCTTGCATCTATTCCCCCATCCCTTATTGAAGTCCTCAAAAGGAGGCAAGAGGAAAGGGTTAGCAATCAATCCCCGCGCATTCAGTCCATGTTATCCTAAGCTCGTGATGCACCACGATGCTTTGGAGTTGTGCTACTCATGTGTATCAAGTCAGTCAAATGGAAAAGGGTTTTTCAATCGAACTCCCACATTTTGTCAGGAGTTTGCATTGATCGATGCTGACACTCCGTGCTTGTTCATATTGCCTTCTATCTCCTACCTCGATCTTCTATATCTTGGTTAGGTGCTTAGTCGCTTTAGACATCACATTTTCCTTTTTTTCATCCTATTCCCGCTTGGTTGCTTCAGGTGATGCGCTCCCCCTGGCTAAAGCATTTCTCTTCTTTTTATTTTATCCCATTCCCGCTTGTTTGCTTTGGGTGATTTTCTCCCCTTGGCTAAAGTATTTCCCTTGTTCCCCTATGTTTCCTACCTCGATCTTTGATATCTTTGTTAGGCCATTTTGCTTGAGCTAGTGTGCACTACTCTCGCCATGTATGTTCCCTTTTGTTTGAGATTGTTTGAGATGCATTAAACTCGCCATGTATGTGCATCATTGTTTGTTTGCTACCTTTGTATATACCATGATCCCTTAGGGTTTTCTCGACTCTTTTAGGTTAGTGTTCGAGATATACATTAGGTTTATAAACCATGTATTCTAACATTAGGATTAGAGATTAGTTCCCTCTTGTTAATCCAGACCATAGGACCATCATTATATGATAATATTAGGATTAGAGATAGGTTAGTCTCCCTTTGGTGTTTTCTTCCCATTTTGCATAATTGTATTTAAAACTAAAACTTATTTTTCTTGGAAAATATATAAAACATGCTAACCATACAAAAATCTTTTTCATGGTAAAAAAACACCAACTAATTCATTTCTTTTCGCCATTCGGCTTTTCTCTTCTAAGAACGTGTTGATTCCTTTCCACTATAATGCATGAGTCTTCAATGGTCGAGCGGTAGTGGAATGATTGAATTTAACATTGTTCATTTAAAAATATAAACAAACATAAACTTGTGAGCCGAACTACGGTGCCCTGATTCTTTAAAAGGGATACATATGCATCTGGTCACGGGGATCAGTCGAGAGAAAATTTGTAAATATTTCCTTCTCTTCCCCGTGTTTTCGTTGCATGCAATCTCTCTTTGCATTTTTCTTTTAGCTCTTAAGCATTAGAATTAACACACCCTTTGATTAGTATAACAAGAATGGATCCCATAGAGTACTACAGATGTGAGGGGTACTAATACCTTCCCCTCGCGTAATCGACTCCCGTACCCGATCTCTCGGTCACAAGACCTTGATTTATCCCTTCAGATTTTTCTTTGATGATTTTCCTTTCCCTTTATGTGGGATAAATAAATACTCTGTGGCGACTTCATTAATTTTACCGCTACAGGTTTCTAGCATGATTATTACAGACAATGGGTCCAATTTGAACAACAAAATGATGAAGGAGGTATGCGATGACTTCAGAATTGAGCATCATAATTCCTCACCATATGGACCCAAGATGAACGGGGCCGTTGAAGTTGCCAATAATAATATCAAGAAAATCATTCAGAAAATGGGGAAGACATACAAAGATTGGCATGAAATTCTTCCCTTCGCTCTACATGGCTTTCATACTTTTGCACGTACATCAACAAGTGCAACTCCTTTCTCTCTCGTATATGGCATGGATGCAGTAATCCATGTTGAAGTAGAGATTCCATCACTATGAGTTCTAATGGAAATAACGCTTGAAGAAGCAGAGTGGGTTTAGACGCGACTTGATCAACTTAACCTCATTGTAGAAAAACGCTTGATCTCTTTGTGCCATGGTCAATTATACCAAAAGTGAATGAAGAAAGAATTTGACAAAAGGTCCATCCTCGAATGTTTAAAGAAGGAGACTTGGTGCTCAAGAAGATTCTACTACCTCTCCTTGATTCATGTGGTAAATGGACACGCAACTACGAAGGTCTGTATATGGTAAAAACTGCATTCTCGGGTGATGGTCTTATCCTCACAATAATGAACGAGGAAGAACTACCACATCCGACAAATTCAGACGTAGTCAAAAAATACTATGTATAAAAATCTAGCTAAGTTCAAACCCTAAACGGGCGGCTTAGGAAAAAAGGAGCGTCCCGATAGATTGAAAACCCTAAAGGGAGATCCAGGCAAAAATTAGGGACATACACAAAAAAATTATTATCCCGGTGGATTACAAACCTGAAAGGGAGATCCAGGCAAAAGTTAGGGATCTTATTCAAAATAAATAACAAAAAGGCTACGATCTAAGAACTATGAATACGACCACGAAGGAGAGGGATTGATCTATATCATTTGACTCAGAAGCAAAGGACATTGGAGAAACAACAGTAGCAATTATCATTTTCATTGCCATTTTCAGTTTTAAAAATGCATGTAATTACCTCTTTCAAAGAATAGCATCTTGTACTCTCACCTATTCAAAGGCATATTTATTAATGAAACATTTACTTTTTCAAATCTTTCAATTGTGTTTTTCCTTTTCGGACTTGTTTGCAAATACTACGATTAGTCAATACTGTGTTGAAACCATTTTGGGGATTTCACAAATAAATAAAAGCATTGGATAAAACATCAAAAAAGAAATTTGGTTAGAAGAACAACGAAAGAAAATTCACGTCTATATCCACGCCTGCGATCATAGCCATATCCACGCCTACGTCCGCAACTACGTCCACGCCTGCACTTGCGATACAAATATCAAAATCTTGCTAACACCCATTCATCTTGTTCCAATCAATTCAAAATACCACGACAACGCAACATACGACGTTGGGGAGTCGGTGACACAAAACCAATGGTTTAAAAAGAGAGAATATTAAAACATTCAGAACAAGCATTTGGTGCACATATAAACATTTGGGCATATACAAACATTTATGGTATATACAAACACTTGGTGCATATACATTTTGGGCATATACAGAAAAAACTCGGCGCATATATGTTTAGGGTTCCATATCAAGAGCACCAGGCATGGCATTATCCAAACACATTTTTGATTAAAACTACAAACTTTCTTTGGGCTCATCATTGGATTATCCTATCCACAAAAACAAACAAATACCTTGGTTGAGAATAGACACAACCGGTAAAACTCTAACTTATCTTTGGTCTAGTTATCTAAGATTCGATTACCAAAACACTCTTCAATTATCTACCCTTTAGGTTGTGATAGGTATGCGAGTTTTCAAGATTACATTATTTATCCTTTAGGTCGTGATAAATACGTAAGACTACCCCCATGTCGTTTATCCTCTAGGTCGTGATAAATGCACAAAGTTTTCAAACATCTGTCCCCTAGGTTTTTGTAGGTGTACGAATTATCAGGTTCAAATTATTCATTCCCTAGGTCGTAATGAATAAGTGAAACTATCTCCGTGTTGTTTATCCTCTAGGTCGTGATAAACGCGCAAACTTTTCAAGTGTCTATCCTCTAGGTTGTGGTAGGTATGCTAACTTTCAGAATTATGTCATTTATCCTCTAGGTCGTGATAAATGTGCAGGTTCATCCTTGTATTGTTTACTCTATAGGTTGTAGTAAACATAACAAAATTTGTGATATAATTCATTGTGTCAGTCTCTAAGCGGCAATGAGTTATCAAGTCTGTGTTATTTATCCTCTAAGTCATGATAAATACAAAACCTATATTTGTATTATTTACTCCCTAGGTTGTAGCAAATATACAAAATTTACGATATAACTCATTGCAATAGTCTCGAAGCAGCAATAGGTTATCTGTCTCTCTGCGATATATTTCATTGTGTTAAGTCTCCATGCGGCAATGGATTATCAACTCTATTTTATTCATCCCCTAGGCTGTGATGAATAGAAAAAATATGCATTATAAGCTTACTATGTTAGTATCGAAGCATTAGTAAGTCAACTTTTAAATATGTGTTATTTACCTCCTAGGTTATGGTAAATATGAAAAATCTACGATCTCTTTTCTAGGTATTGGCGAG